GCTCCTGGACTAGCTGGGTAGATCTATCTTCTACACTCTCTGCAGGGATTGCAGCTGCAGGGTTACACCTCAGGCATGTATGCCAGACCTGAGCTGTACCTGGAGGGGGCAAGGTGAAGTAGGGGGAAGAGGAAGCTCTCCCACACACTCACTGGACCTGGGCTAAGACTGGGTCCGGGGGTTCCGGGAACTCCGCAAAATTCCTACTCGGGGTGCGGGGTGCGGAGGTGCTGCGGAATGGTGGGGGCGGCCCAAGGGGATGAGAGAGGGTCCGACCCACGCTGCACCTGGGCTGGGACTGGTCGCGCTGGCGCAGGGTAGCAGGAAGCTCTCCACACACTCACCGGACCTGGGCTAGGACTGGGTCTGGGGGTTCCTGTAACTGGGCAGAAATTCCTACTCAGCGGGCGGGGTGTGGGAGGTATGGTGGAGTGATGGGGGGCAGCCCAAGGGGGTGGGAGAGGGTCCAGCCCACACTGCGCCTGGGCTGGGACTGGTCCCGCTGGCGCAGGGTAGCAGGAAACTCTCCACACACTCACCGGACCTGGGCTAGGACTGGGTCTCTTTCCACCCATTTTAAAAGAATATTTTGGCCTTCCTTTTGGCTGGAACCACCATCTTCCACCAATTTGCCAAAATGACTAACACAAAGGGCAAGAGGAGGGGAATTCAGTATATGTTTTTCAGACCCTTTAGAAAACATGGGGTTGTTCCTTTGGCCTCATACATGTGAATCTACAAAAAGGGTTATATTATAGACATCAAGGGAATTGGTACTGTGCAAAAAGGGATGCCTCACAAATGTTACCATGGCAAAACAGGAAGAGTCTACAATGTTACCCAGCATGCTGTTGGCATTGTTGTAAACAAGCAAGTTAAGGGCAAGATACTTGCCAAGAGGATTAATGTGCATATTGAGCACTTAAAACACTCAAAAAGTCATAATAGCTTCCTGAAACGTGTCAAGGAAAATGATCAGAATAAGAAGGAAGCTGAAGAGAAACGTACTTGGGTTCAACTGATGCGCCAGCCTGATCCTCCCAGAGAAGTATACTTTGTGAAGACCAATGGAAAGGAACCCGAGTTGTTGGAACCCATTCCCTATGAATTAATGACATAAACTGGGGATGTTGCTCCGCCATTCAGTCCCTAGTTGGCAGCTTAAGTGTTGTAGGTCCTACATAAAGATAAAATTCTGTGTTGTAAGGATGGTTTTCTTAGTTGAACAGGTATGTGGTGCCTTCTTACCTCAGAAATATTTGCAGCAGATTTTCACTGTACCTAGTGATTGGGTCTAGTCTTTACTTTTCAGTGTTTTCCTTGCTGAAAGAGATTGCTGAGGTATTATGCAGGTGTATACCCCAAAATTCAAATATTTATAAAATATTTATATTGGCCTGAGGATTCTGTAAATCATCATAGGGAGAAGATGTATCAAAATAAATGGAAGTCACTTCAGAAACAAATGTAAGTCTATTTCAGTTAAATAAATTACTTAAAGCAAAAAAAAATTAAAGGAATATTTTGTAGGATATATAAATTCTTGAGTTTTGGGTTCTAAGATACTATCTCTTAGGGCCTGAAGCATTTCACTCCAAGCCCTCCAGGCCTTTAAGGTTTGCAAAGAGAAGTCTTTCCACTTCCAGTGGGTTTAACTTTACCTATGATTCATTGCTATTTCTAACAACTTTTAGGATTTTTGTCCCTGTGGTGATATCTGATACATTGAGTACAACGTGGCATGGTCAATTTCTCTTTTAGTGATGACTTCTGGGGGCTCCATATGCCTCACTTATGTGTATGTAATTTCCTTCCATCTTTTTGGGGAGATTTCTTTCATTATTTTTGGGAACAGGTTTTATGTTTCTTGTACTGTCTTCTGAGTCTTTACTTCTTGCAGTTATTGTTTGATTAGTCTTCTTTTCTTGACACCGGGAAGTGGGCAGCTTTGCTCCACCATCCTCTTCCAACACGATGTTTCTGTCTCAGGGCCAGCCAACCATGGACGGAATTCTCTGGAATCCTGAGCCAAATTTGACATATTCTCCTTCAGTTGTAGCTTCTGAGTGTTTTGAAGCCCCTAAGATCCTGTTGGGAAAGATGACTAATACATTCAACAATACAAAAAGCAACACAAACTATGAAATTCATAAAAGTAAAACCTTTTATACAAAAATAAAAGAGAAACACATCAGCACAGCAGGAAAGCAATGAGTTATTTTGGGGTATGGTTCTCACAGCACAGGAAAGTAAGGCAACTAGGACTACATCAACCTGCAAGCCTTATGCCAGCAAAGCAAATAATCAAGAATAATAAAGAGACAGGCTAGAGAACAGCTCCCAGTTATTCACTAGTGAATGGGTTAATATCCAAAATACACAAAAACCTCAAAGTACATAACAACAGAAAGCAAGCAGTTCATTTGAGGATAAGGAAAATGGATATTTCTCAATAGAAAAAATACAAATGGCTGACAATTATATGAAAGAATGCCCACCTTCATTAGTCATCAGCAGAGGGCAAACCAAAACTCCAGTGAGATGTTTCCTCCAGTTCCACTGGCTGCTATGAAAAAACAAGAGATGCCAAATGCTGGAAACAAGGTAGAAAAAAGTAACATGCCATGTTGATAGAAATAGAAATTAGTAAGACCATTGCAGATAAAAGAGTGGTGATCCTAACATTAAAACCAGAAATAGGGCTGGCCAGATAGCTCAATGGACTAAAGCACCGGCTTAGGAAGGAACAGAGACAGAGGTTCAATCCCCAGCATGCTCTGAGACACCAATTGACACTAGGCATGGAGGCATGCACCTGTAACACCAGCGCTTGGGAGGCTGAAAACAGGAGGAGCACTACGAGTCTGATCTGTGTAGTAAGACCCTGTAAACTCTGTTAAATACATTTAAGAAACCCAGAAATACATGTGACCAGGCACCTCAGGGCACATGTCCAAAGGAAACAAGAAGTGCACCAAAGCAATACCTGCAACCCTGTGTTTAGCACGGTGCTATTTGCAATAACCAAGACGTGAGATCAAACCCAGCGCATATTGTTGAACACACAGGTAAAGAAAACGTGCTGGGCACCAAGAGTACATTGTTCAGCCTTTAAAATGAAGGCATCTTGTCATTTCCCCTGTGAACCTGGAGGACATTGTGTTAAGTCAAATAAGTCAGGCACAGTGAGACAAGTACCACAGTTCCAACTCACCATGTGGAGTCTAAAACCTGCAAATTTATACAAGCAGAAAGTACAATGGAATAGAGGGCTGAGGCAGTGTTTGATTGACTGAGCCAACTCGAGAAATTTCAAAACTTCACTAAATTGGCTCAGCAATTCCACACACTAGGGCATAAAGGACCCACCCCAGGGCGGCTCATCACTTGAAGGATCTAAAAGGGAACTGAGGAAGGATGGAGGGTTCCTTTTCCATGGATGAGCTCCTGTCTTTGCAGGCAGCTTGGACGCCATCTTCTGGCTTCTATGCAGACTCCCAGGCCTCTGCCTTGGATCCTTCAGCCTTCTGGTGTAGACTCATCAGCCTTCTTACGCACACCCATCGGCCTCCTAATGCAGATTTGGCAGTGAGCTCCAGACCTTGGACTGAGTCCTTCAGTGTCCAGTGTGCAGACACCCTCTGCACGCTTCCTCGTCAGACTTGGAGGCTGACTGTCATGGCCCAGTCTTGTCATTTCTTATACATTTGCACATCTTCTGTTATATCTGTTCCTCTAGTAAAACCCTGACTGACACAGCTGGTGACTGAGGATATGCTGGACAAAAAGCACCTTCTCAGTTAGCAAGAGGGAATCAGTCCAAGAGGCGTGTGAAAGCAAAGTGGCAACTGTACTCCCAGGGGATTTTCTGGTGCTTCAAGATCACATTGTTCTCACCACAAAATATACATTACATTATTAGTGTGTCCTGAACTTAGCTCAATTTAGCCTTAACACAATAATACAGAACTATTCCAGAATAAGCATCGTAAAGGACCAATGCATACAATTTTGACATTTTAAAAAGAAAAACTTTTAAAAGCAAGTAAATAAATGTAGGTTAGCTCAACTACTGCAAACCCATCCACTCCCCTCCAGCTCTAGACCGAAAAGAAAGGGATGAATAATCCAAGGTTCTAAGATAAGTTAACGGCTTCTTTTATCAATCTGTTCTCACCCACAGGAAGGAACAGGCTGTGGCCCCAAGTGTAATCCCTCAAGCTTCCACCTAGGGCCTGCTCAGCTCCCTCCTACAAGCAGGCGTGGCAGACAGGAGCTCCAGCCCACCTCTTTCCTCCACCTTAGGCTGGAGGGCCCGGCCCTGACCTCTGCTCTGTGTTTCTTGGTCAAAGGAGAAGGACATTTCCTCCCCTGACATGATCAGTGGCAGTGCAGGATCCCAGAAGAGATAAAAAGGAACAGACTGCATCGGGTTGCAGGGAGTATGAGAATGGCTCTCAGGTTGAAGTCACCTGTGTGGCTGGCAGGTCCCTGGCTGT